TGTCAGTGCTAATGCTACTCCTTTTAAGCAATCTTTCTCTTTCTCTCAGGCTTTCTTTGGTATTTTGCTGGGTATGGATATTTGTAATTGTGATTTATTATGTGAATTGAATTTGAGGATTAGTGTCTTTGAGTATTTCTAGAAAACTTTCATAAAATCTCCTTTTTTTAAACTCTTTTTGTGGAACATTAAAAAGATATCTGTTAGACCTTATTACTCTAATCTGTGTGTCTTTTAATATGTTTTTTCATATTTTTCCATCTCTTTGTCTTACTGGGCTGCATTCTGAATAAGTTATTTAGATGTATCTTCTACTTCATTCACTTTTTAGCTGTATCTGATCTGCTATTTAACCTATACATTAAATTTTTATTTCAATTATTTTATATCTAGAAGTTGTATTATTTTTTCCAAAACTTATCTTTTTTCATAATCTCATTCCTCATATTTTCAATCTATTCTATAAATATATTTTTACTGTAATGTTAAACATAGTTATTTTACATTGTGTCTTATAAATTTAAAAACTGAATTATTTGCTCCTGTTGTCTGTTGTTTCTGAAGGCTCTTGCTCTTGTGATGTCTTGTTTCCTGCTATGTTTTGTGTTTTTTAACTGTGACATCATTTTCCTTGGAACGTTATTTATGGAAATTCTTTGAGGCCTTGGTTTAAAGTGTTTTTCTCCAAAAAGGATTTGCATTTTCTTATGCCTCATGCCAGGTGTACAGCCATCTAGAATTACAAACCAAATACATAGATATTGTGAATTTGGCTGCAGACATGACAAACAGCTTGTTTATGAATTCTCAGTCAATCCAGGCAATGTTGAGGTTCTAAATTTTCATTGCTAACTCTTATTAGATTCCCCATCTGGAGCAGGCCCTGGGCTTTTTCTCCTGTACCTTTTCCCCAAATGGCCAGTAGAATGGAAACTCAGGGTCACAAGGCTTGGGAGTATATGTCCAGGGTAAAAGCTAGTTATGTGCTTCCTCAGCTGTCTAGATTCCTGCTTTCATTTTGGTTTTGGCTTCTAAGAATATCTTTCATGCCAGCTCAGTGATACATTTAAAATGAGTTTTTAAAGTTTTTCATTTAGCACTTCTCTGTTTTTAGTGGGATAATATTGAGTCTGCCATAATGCTGAAAATAGAAGTCATCCTTTATCTTAGTCTTAATACAGCATTTATTATTCACTCAAGATATTCCCATTTGTTCTTATGAATATAGATTTTTTTCCTTTCTCTTGCTTGACTAAGGATCTTGAGTTAGCATCAAGAGGCCTGAGTTTTATGTTTGACTCTCTCTCTCTGAGCCTTGTTTTTCTCACCTATTAATTGGTCAAAAATTGCTAAAGTACCTTTCAGCACTGGCAGTGGTTCTGTGTTTTTATTCATCTTCTTGTATTCCTTGTTCTTTGAAGCATTTTGTTTCCTCTTCTAGCTCTGTGATACTCTAGATTGGAGGGAAGAACTAGGAAGGGCAGGTACAGAACCAAAAGGAGTTGCTTTAGTGGAAGGACTTTCTGAATTCCAGGGCAAGGAGCTCAACACTCTCTTTTTCTGAACTGACCCAAACTTTTGCTGTTACCTAGGTATAATTTGCCTCTTTGAAGAAGCAACCTGCCTTAGCCGCCATTTGTTGCCCATTTCCCAGAATACTGAGGAGACCCAAGGGATCCCGCACCTGGAAAAACTGGAGAGTTTTGGAGAACTGAGCTCAATACAAAAGGAGACACTGCTGCAGGAACAAACAGTTATCTAGCGCAGGATATACTGTCTACCCTTCTTCAAGTTCTGTGAGCACACGTGTGGATATTTATGTAGCTCCCCCTTCGCCTCCAGTCTCTGCTACCTTTGATGAGCTTCTTGAGTGCCAAGTCAACCCTCCACTTCCTCATACTTAGAGTGCTTCTGTCTTGCTTATATTTGCAATTTGTTAAAATTTCTTTGAACTCTTCTGAGCTTTCTCAGTGAATTTTTTTGCAGGTGTTTTCAATAACAGAAGTGCTTCTCTGTTACTTACATACATACCTCAAAAACCCAGCCTGAGGAGAGGGAGGAATATTCTGAGATGATCAGGTGGAGTGGGCTTTTGTAAAACAAAAACTGAACAGGATATAACCACCACAGAAGGTTTTTGAATTAGTGAAATTAAAAACAAAACAAAGTGGTATCTCCAGACAAAAGTGTGATTCAGTGCAGAAATCTTTTGGTAAGTATGTATTGGAGGGAGGGACTAGTAGTGGTTAAAGGTGAAAACCCTTCAAAATTGAGGTCCTAGGTCTGGAAGGCTAAGCCCAGTGAATCTATGCTTCTGAGGAAAGCATAGGCAAGTTAGCCAATCAGCATATGGCATTTCTATTTTACATCAGGTCCAGGGGCCTCTTGAGTGTACCTCTAAAATGCTCCCCTTCAGAGTCCTGATGGTACTTATAGTCTGTGGAGCACTCAGCCTCCCAGCTAGGATGGGTGTAACTGGGAAGTATAAATGCTGTGGGGCAGTGTGAAGGCTAGAACTGTGATCCAAGCCCTCTACTGGCCACATATCCACCCCCTACCGAAGGTACCAAGTAACAATGGCTCCCCCTTCCCTCTCTAAAGAACACATATGTGCAAAGAGCTCTTAGAACCTAAGAAGTGTACCTTCAAAAACAAGTACAGGGATATGTGTGTGTCTGGTGGAGGGGGATGCAATGGACATGGCTGGAGTCAAGTGGGCTCTGTTGTCACTGTTAAGTAATGTTCATTAAAGGTTGACCTTCTACAGTGCACCACTGAGGTACACAAAGGTATCGGAATCAGATCCTGCTGCTCTCCAGAGGCTCACACTCATGCTGGGGTGCTGAAAAACTAACAGCCACTAGGGTTTTTAGTTAGATTTTTTTTTTTTTTTTAGTTTCCTATTACATTTCTCTCTAAAAGATATTGTGGGAGTTTCTTATAGGAATATGGTGACAGCCGAGTTCAAAGGCTTTCAACTCAATTTTCTTCCTAAAAAAAAAAAATACAGGGACTAAAATAGTGAAACTAAGATCAAAGAAAATCTGCAAATTCCAAAATATGTAATTGTGACCAAAAGGACCCCAAATCAGCAGACCCAGTATGGGAAGCCACAACTGGGAGAATGGTATGGTGGGCACAGAGAGATATATCAGAGAATATAGACGGGTTCTAGTGGTGGCAGATTTTTTAAAAAAATCATTAGTAAATATTAAACCTCAGAAGTTTGAGAATGACTAACCCTGAGAAAGAATGGCTATGAATAGGATTGAGAAGAAACATGGTTGGGCATGAGTGTTGGGGAGCCAGAGAAGGCATGGAAAGCATACTGGAGCCCATAAAATGGGCAATTTAAAAGGAGACAATAAAAGAGAGGAGATCACCTTGGAAGGCAGATGAAAATATCCCTTGATAGCAATGGCTTGTAAATGGAATGAGGGCAGGAAGTGAGTGGTAGTATAAGCCCTCTGAACCAAGTTAGGATATGAGAATCAGCAGAATCCTAGTTATACAGGGAACTATATATTAAAGAAACTATTCATGTATGTAGTAATATGTGATGGTTAAGCTTGCGTGTCAACTTGGCTGGGCCATGATTCTCAGTGGTTTGGCAGTTATGATGTAGTCTGGCAGTCATACAATGTTGTGCTCACTTCCATGATGGGATCTGCTGTGAGCAGCCAATCAGTTGAAAGGGAGTTTCCTTAGGCGTATGGCTTGCATCAATATAAGTGGACATTCTGACAAGGCTCGGGGGCTTTTGCTCACTGTGGATCCTGCAGCTGGCTCCTGTTCATCTGACCCCCAATTCTTGGGACTTGAGCTAGCAACTTACCTGCAGTCTTGCCCGCTGATCTTGGGATTTGTGGAACTTCACATCCTGTGAGCAACAGCCCTGCTCTCTGACCTGCCAATCTTGGGTTTGCCAGCCCCTGTGACTACAGGAATCAGGAGAAGCCTCTATCCTGATCCACGGACTTGGAATGTTCCAGCCTCTATAATTGCGTGAGCCATTTCCTTGAGACAAATCTCTCTCTATATATATTTATATGCTTTACTGGTTTTGCTTCTCTAGAGAACCCAGCCTAAGACAGAAAAAGGAGCCCTTGCACTAAGAAACTGGGAATGCTTCCCAAATTCTACCCCTCTTCCACAGCATCCTCCTGCAAATATCTGGTCCAGGAAAATCAAACTCATTCAAATAAAAGGATAAAAAAGCAACATCAATACAACAGTACTATAAGAAAAAGCAGAAAGAGCAGCAAAATGTTTCCGGATATGAAGAAAACTCACTAGAAAAGTGTTGTTACAAAGTATAGGAACATTTTAATACAACATTCCAAAATGAATTAAAAAATTTAATGAAGCAGTTGTGGCTATGAGGAAACAGAAAATCCCACAAAGTAGAATTACAGAAGCTCAAAGAAGAAATGTCCTGATAACAAAAGGCAAGGGCAAGATAACATGAACATATTACATAAGAACTGATAGAACTCAGGGAAGAATTAGGAAAAAAAATCAGAAATGAAGACTAAATTATAAGAAACACCAGAGAGAATAGATACCATAAACAGCAAGGGATATAAAGGTTAAGAATAAAAAAAGTGAAGAAAATGAAAGAAAGAAATACAAAACATTACAGAGAAAGTGAAAACTATAAAAGACAAAGGAGATCCAACATATGTAAAATTGGAGTCCCTGAGGAGGAAAACTGAAATAAGAGAGCAAAACATATACTTAAAACTGTAATTCAAGAAAACTTTTCTGAAATTAAAAAAAAAAAATCCTCATTTACCAATTGAAAAGGAATAACATTTACTTGGGAAAATTGATTCAGAATGGTCAACAGGGGCAGTGCTTTGTTCTTACTGGAATAGTCACTTACTCTGGATATGGATTTGCCTTCTCTGCCCACTATGCTTCTACCAAAACTACTATCTGTGAATAAGCCACCATAGTAGTGTCTCACTTACTGTTATAAGTGTGAGAAAGATTTTAACTATGACTAAAAATTCAGAAAGAAAAAAATCAATAAATGTGACTCCATAAAAAAGAACTTCAATGTGCTTGGCAACGCAAAACAAAACAAATAAAAAACCTACATAAGCAAAACCAAAAGACAAAGAAGCTAGAAATAATATTTGCTACCCAAATAACAAAGGACTAGTCTTTCTAAAATATAAAGTGCTCCTAGAAATTGAGAAGAAAAAGAACCCAACAGAAACATGAAAAAAAAATTGAACAGTTTTTTTTTTTACTGAAAAAGAAATAGAACTGGCTCTTAAAGTATGAAAAGATGCTAAATGTAACTTATAATACGAGAAATGCAAATTCAAACTTTATTGAGCTAATTCTGGTTCTGAACAGGATGCACCAGATCATGTTACAGCACTGCTCCTGCTGCAGCAACTAAAAAAATGCAAAGATTATAAATGTAAAGACATTGGAAATATGTGAAAGCAAAGAAGACTAAATGAATTATAATTCTTGAGAAGAGAGACCCCTTCCAGGGTGAGCAGTCTGTCACTGGCTGTTTTATTCCCTGGGTACTTTTGCCAATTTCAGTAGAGTCTGAAGATCCAGGTTTGGCCCACCAGAAAGATTCTTCTGGGCAAAAGAAATACCAGTGAAACTTTTCATGGCTGTATGAGGGCTGGTGCAACACTTTGGAAATTTCAGTGCCCTTTAAATGCATGGCTGTTTCCCCCTTGGTACAACTGATGAATTCTGGGCCCGTCCTGGAAGCTTTTAGAAGGCATAAAGAAATCTCCTATAGTCTGATGTTTTTAAGGAGACAAAGTCTCACCTGAAGAATGATGCCTTCCTCAAACACAGGGCTGGTCTACTTCTCAAGACATTTTCCAAATTTGGAAGATGCATGGGGTGAGCAAAGCTCAACACATCTGAAGAGCAGATATAATCTCTCATACTCTTTTAGAACTGAGAAAATAGAGATCCAGCAGCTCTCAGTCAAAGATCCCAGAGGGACATGCCAGAGAAACAGGAAAGAACCAGAGGTGACTGAGTCTTACTAAGAGAGCAACCTAGCCTCAACCCAGATCAATCCAAATTTGATTAAGTGATCATCCTGTCACCATATTTACCTAACAAAGGTGAAGGGGAGCTTACTCTTGTAGAAGATAACATTATTGGAACCTGAAATCTCTTTACTTCCTTTATAAACAAATATTGGCATACAATGCAGAATTACTAGACATGCCAAAAGACAGGAAAATGTGACTGACAAGAGAAAAAACAACCAATAAAAGCAGATGCAAAGATGATCCACTATTGGGGTTAGAAGACATGAAGTTTAAAATAACTATTACAAATATGTTAAATAAATGAGAAAGAAAAGCAAATAGTTGAAAAATGGAGGAAACTATACTGAAATGCCATTTCTCCCTATGAGACTTGAAGTCAAAAGTTTGATGCAACACATTTCTGCTGGATAAGTTTTGGGGGAAAAAGCACTCTCATATGTTGTGGGTGGAAGTGCAAAATGGCATAACCCCTTTGGAGGGGACTCTAGCAATATGTACCAAAACTACAGATGCATTAATGCTTTAATACAATGTTTTCATTTTAGAATTTATCCACCTGCACAAATATTTTAAAAATTACATCGCTATGGAGTTATTAATTGCTATAGTATATCAATTACTACAAATGATTAGAAGCAACTCAAATGTCCATCAATAGTGAACACGTTAAATAAACTATTACGTCCATACCAGCTTTAAAAAATGAATGAGGAAAAGTCTCTATGTACCTGTAATCTGATCCAATCTTCTTGTACCTTTCCCCAAATCCCCTCTCCCCTGTGTTTTCTCCTTCCTCTCCAACTCATGGAGAACTAAAAAATGCGTTTTGATGTTTTGTTGTTGGAGTTGACTCATGGCAACCCTTTGTGTGCAGAGTAGAACTGCTGCATAGGATTTTCAAGGCTGTGATCTTTCAGAAGCAGATCACCAGGTCTATCTTCTAAGGCACTTCCAGGTAGGTTCAAACCACCTTTTTGGCTAGTAGTAGAACAACGTTTAACATTTTGCGCCACCCATGACCTCCAGGTTTTGCAATAGCTAGGTATATTTCAGTTTTCCAGGACAAATTCTCTGGGCCAATGTTTTAGTTTGGGTTCTCTAGAGAAGCAAAACCAGTGACGCATATATAGATGTACGTATAGTGAAATTCACTGCAAGAATATGGCTCACGCAATTGTAGGGGCTGGCAAGTCCCAAATCTGTGGGTCAGATGACAGACTGAAGACCTCTGCTGGCTCACATGGTTGCAGGGGCCGACAAACTCAAAATCTGCAGATGACGTGACAGGTTTGAGGCCTCTGTTGGCTCATGGGGTTGTGGGGGTTGGTGAATCCAAAATCTACAAGTCAGGCAACAGGCTTCTGTTTTATGTCCCAAGAACCGGAGGTCATAGGAGAAGATGCAGGGTCCAGAGAAAGAGAGAGAGGGAGCTTTGCTAGAACATCTATTTATATATTGGATGCAGGCCATACCCTCAAGGGAACTCCCCTTCCAACTGACTGGCTGCTGCCGTAAGATCACAAAATGGAAAATGATTATTTAGTGTCTACCAAGCCACTGAGAATCATTGCCTATTCAAGTTGACATATAAGATTAACCATGACAATCAATTAGACAGTTTCTCTTGGCCCCCTGGTTCAGTCTCATCCCTCTTGTATACGAGTAACGTTGGTGAACAAGGAGAGTAACTGACAGTCTTTCCAAAATGAGTTGACAATGTAATTTATAATAAATAATTTGAGACTCAGAAAACACAGCAATTATCTGGCAGACATTCCTTCACCCAGACTTGCCAGACTGGACAGAGTTACAGGCCAACACATCTTGTATTTAGTTTGATTTGTGCTTCTCTGGGTAATTTTTTTTTTTTTTTTTAACATTCCAAAGGAAACACAGTTGACAAATAATTGACTTTCCTCACCAGTAAGGAACAGTAACAGTAATAAGATGTAAGCAAGGAGATTTCATGAAAGCCAAAGAAGAAAAGTTTCAAAAGAGAATGTGAACAGTGCCAATGCAATGGAAAGACAAGCAAGATAATGACCAAACAATGTCCTTGATTTTGACAACTGGTATGGAAATTCATACCTTTTGAATGAGCAGCTTCAAAGTATTGGTGGTGGAATCTGATTAGGAGGTGTGTTGGGGGTTTGGTGTGTTGGGGGTTTTGCAACACAAACAATACTGCAGTGAACAACCCTATACCTACATATCTGTATGATAAATTCCCATAAATGTATTTGCTGGGTCAAAGAGTAAATGCTTTTGCAATTTTGATAAATATTGTCAAATATCTATAAAGGTTACAACAATTTTGCAACCCTACCGGCAATATATAAGAGTTCTTGTTTCCCCTACAGTCTTACCAAGAGTCTATGTTAAACTTTTGGAATAGTTTTTGCAAATTGGACAGGTAAGAAATGGTATCCCAATACTATTTTATTTTGCATTTCTCATTGAGTGAATTGAGCATATTTTCATATGTCTAATAGTCATTTGTATTTCTTTTTCTATGAACTTATTTTTTCTACTGGGTTGTTGGCCTTTTTCTTCACAATTTCCAGGCACTCTATCTAGTAGGGAAATTAACCCTTTGTGATGTGAGTTACAAATATTTTTTCCCAGATTGTGATTTGTGTTTTGATTTTGCTTATGTTTTTTTTCCATGTAGAAGTTAAAAAAAAAAAAAATGTATACAGTAAAATTTTTCCATCTTTCTTTCATGGCTTCTGGATTTAAGTCATAATAAGAAGTTTCCCATTTCAAGGTTATGAAATAACTCTGTTTTCCTTGGACACTTTTACTCCATCCTTTCTCTCATCCTCCAGATCCAATGAATCCCAAACCTTGCCAATTTTACCCCCCCAAAATAGGTTTCATATCCCTTACAATCTCTAGTCTCACTGACTGCTCCGGTTCTGTCTCGCATTTCTTTCCTGGGTTGCATTATTTAACCTCACTTTACCTGGAATGTCACTTGTCTCATTTCCTCACTTCCCCTCCCTCTTTTCCCCAGTCTTTCTCGAAGGGTTCTCAGCAACATCTTTCTAAATTCTGTTACTTCCCGCCTTTAAACTTACAGAAGCTTCCCATTCATTTGCCTTCAGGATAGCATCCGAGAACCCCAATTTAGCTGGCTACTCCGTGGCTCTGATTGTGTGGTAATGTCATCAATTCCTCCGCACTCCCTGGGCTCGTTGTCCTCCCTCTAACTGAAAACACTCTTACCTAGTTCTTTGATTCACCCTTCTAAACTGAGCCAGCTCTTCCAGGAAGCCTTCCTTGAACTCCCCCTCCTCAACCCTGCACACTCTACCGGGGGCCCAGGCCCCTCCCATGTGAACCCATAATGCTCGGTTCTTACCTCCATCAATCACCCTTTGTTTCTACGCCACTGGACGACTTGAGGTAAGTTACCGTGTCCGAGTCCTTCCTACAGAGGGAAAGCAGGTGGAAAGACACAGAAGCAGAAATTAACCTTGCAACCGAGAGCTTCGAGAAGGGCAGTTAGCCCCGGGGGAAGGAGCCCCTCGCCGCCCCGCTTCGTTTGGGGGCGCGCGGCAACGACACGGCTCGAACCCCACTTTTTCTCCACTGGAAAAGCTGACCGCAAACTGGGCTGAGCGATCATCGAGACGCACGGACCTCCGTTATTCCTAGAGAGGAACCGGAAGGGGCTTTTCCTCTCAACCTCTCTGACAGCGTCCTCGGCTCATTTCCGGCCCGCGGAGGGTACTGGTGATACTGATATCGTTTGGGGACCGCTGGTGAGATCTGGGTCAGGGCTGCGGCCGGGGACAGAGCGGAGGTGGAAAGGGCGGCAGGGACGGGCTCTGGCGCCGCTGCGGGCTGGGCTGCGGCGGGTCTGGGAAAGAGCACGTCTCCTGCCCAACCCCAGCTGCAGGCGGCTCGTCTCCCCGGCGCTGCCGCCCACGGGACAGAGGCCCTACGTGTCGGGCATCAAGGGGCTGCGACGCAGTAGGTTCAGGTAAGAGCGATGCTTATTCCGCCTGGCCAGTGTTGGCTTAATAGGAACCCAAGGAAATCTTGAACCGCAGCGAACTGTTTGAAAAGCGAAAGTAGTCATTTTAGAGCAAGATACAGGACACTCATTTAAAGAATAACTACGGAGCACCTTCTATTTATCAAGTACCAGAGATTAAAAAGATGAATGAGGACCTTAAATGCCTTCAGGGAATCTGGTAGATGGAACATGCTGTTAGCCATTTGCACTGTAGTGCGATAAATGCAGTAGTGGAGCTAAGTATAGCTACAACGGCATGAAAGAAATCTCAGATTGATGTAGCAGAGGAAATGGTCAGACTGAAAATGTAAAATAGGGTTTAGAAGGGTAAATAAATACATAAACACACAATAGAATATTAAACAAGCTTTGACTGTGCCTCCTGTGAATTGTTCATGCACACCTTCAATCAGAGTAGAATAATCGTCCTCTTTTCTAACAGGGTCGTTTCATTTCCGCTTCTAGATCCATCTCCCACCCTACATCGTCCTCCCCCACTGAAGTTAAATTGTATTGGTCCTCTAGCCTAGTGCAAGCCTCTTTTCTTTCTCCTGAGTACTGTCTTTTGACTAACCATGCTTCGTATCTATAACTTCTATTTTGGGAGGTAGACCTTGGCCAGTTAAAGGACCTCTTACACCCCTGATTTATCTGAAAAGTAAGGGGAGTAGTACTCACCATATAGAATTATAAGTTTTAATGAGAGTGCATGTTCACACGCTTTCTAATTAGAAAAGCCTATGAAGTTCTAAATCTTTTGATCAATTATAATAATGTTGTAATTATTATATATGTTGCTCCATGGTTTTCTTTGGGTTGAGCACGCCATCACATCCAGGCCACCAGCAAGTCTGTTTTCTGCCTCTAAAATATGCCTTGACTTTGTCTGATTCTTTGCCATCACTCTAATATAAGCCGCTATCATTTTCTGCTTGGACCATTGTTTAAGTGCTGCCTCCCTTCTTGCCTCCTCTAATCTATTACCTATTCACACACAGAAGGATCTTTGTAAAACTTGTAGCTTCCCAGTGAAATAAGAATAAAGTCCATAATTCTTATGGGAGCAGGTCCTGGATAATCTGGTTTCTGCCTGCTTCTCCCATCTCTTCTTCTGTAGTTCTGCCTCTCACTTGCTCTTTTGAGCCACACTGGACTTTGACGTGTTCCCAGATGTGCCAAGTAATTTCTAGCCTCAAAGCTTTTCCCTGGAATGCTCTTTGAATGGCTAGCTCATTCTCATCCTTCAGGTCTCAGCCTAAGTATCATCTCTTCAGAAAAGCCATCTCGAAGTCTGTCACCCCTATTATCAGAGCACCCTATTTATTTCCTTTCTAGAACTCATCCTACCTATAATTTATTTGCTTGCATTTGTTTTTTCTGTCTGCTACACTAGAACATAAACTTCAAGAGAACAAATACATTGTTTGCCTTGTTTTGTATTGTATTTCTGGTTCCTGAGTGCCTGACATATATACATATATTTCTTTTAATTTTGGAGCAGTGAACCTTGGTGACTAACCTAATCATTAGAAAAAAACAAACCTGTTGCCGTCGAGTCAATTCTGACTCATAGTGACCCTATACGACAGAGTGGAACTGCCCTGTAGGGTTTCCAAGGAGCATCTAGTGGATTGGAACTGCCGACCTTTTTTGGTTAGCAGCCAAACTCTTAACCACCGCGCCACCAGGGACCCAACCTAATTATAAGGCATCTTATTCTCTAATCATTATGTTATCTGTCAATGAGACCCTAAACTATTTGTGAGTGTAAGTTAAATCCTATATATTTATAATTGTTCACCAAGTAGCTGCTTAGCAAATACCTACTGAATTGAATTACTATGACCTTCCAGATAAATGTTCATTTTTTAACAATGACTCAGAGAAGGTAATTGCTATGTTCTCCAGCAGAATATTCATTGATGTAGAGACAGAACTGGGTTGGACTGACCTTTCACATGTCTCATGTTCTCAAAAGGGTCATCTGTGCTGTTGTCGTTGTCTGGTTTGCCCAACAGACCCTCATCTTTTGGGAGGGAGTGCGAAGATGCTTAAAGAGCGCCCAGGGATGGCGGAAGAGCCTCAGCTGCAAATGAGTGTTCCTGTGGTGAAGCTGGAGAAAGAGTTGCCATGGGGCAAGGGAAGGGAGGACACGAGTCCTGAGACTTTCCGTCTGAGATTTCGGCAGTTCCGCTACCAGGAGGCAGCTGGACCCCAGGAAGCCCTCAGGGAGCTTCAGGAGCTCTGCCACCAGTGGCTGAGGCCCGAGCTGCACACGAAGGAGCAGATCCTGGAGTTGCTGGTGCTGGAACAGTTCCTGACTATCCTGCCCCGGGAGTTCTATGCCTGGATTCGGGAGCATTGCCCAGAGAGCAGCAAGGCCTTGGTGGCCATGATGGAAGACATGACAGAGAGAGCACTGGAGGCCAAGGCGGTGGGTGAGAAGGGGGTATCAGGTTTTTGTCTTGTTGGTATGGAAAGGGGAGTTTTAAAGAATTGAAAGGTTTAGGAACCTGTGGGAGTGGATGAAGCATAGCATCTCTCTCCTCTGCTCCAAGGCTCTCTGAGGAACTTTTTTGGAGTTTTCAGCAAGAAAAGCCATTCTCAGGGAAGATGCAGGGGGCATGGAAGGGTGTTTAGCTTCTTTTTTGGTCTCGGCAGAGATTCACACATATTTCCCTTGTGAGCCTCAGGCCCAACGAAGACAGTTGTGATTGCTTTTTAAGGCCCCTCATTGACTCATTCCTCTTTGGGCAGAGATACAATGGAAATGTAGGGAATTCCACTTGGTGAATATTCTTACTATGAATATTCATGCTGTCTCTATGTCTGGGAAGTCAGCTCATATGGTTTATTTGACTCCCAAAGTAATTTGATGGCATTGTTCTGATAAACACCAAGTTACTTTGCACCACAGGTATTTCCTGGTGAGTCTGGCTGAGTTTCTCTCACTGTCCTGTACTGGGGAAGAAGAGAGGACTAAATGTTACTGCCTTGCTTGCAAGTAACAGTTGTTTATAGTTTATCCTCAAGTTTTTCTACTGCAGTACCCTGACCTCCTATATAATCATAAGGAATTTTTTTTTTTTTAATGCCCAACTAAGGAGCTTAAAAGTGGGCCAGAAAAGTCCTTGTTTATGTGCATGTGTCTCTGTGGGAGAGTCCTTCTGATTTTCCTGGTATGTTTAGAGCAACTTTTCTTCACTAGCTGATTCACTGCAGACAGTCTGGCTTTGTATCTTTTACTTCCCGTTTCTGTAACTGGGAATTTTTTTCCTCCTAGCAGTGTGTGCATTGTGATAAAGTTCTCCACAACAGGACAATATTTGGGCTGTCTGTGATATTATTCTTGGTGGAATTTGATCAGTATCAAAGAAGGCAGAAGGGACCCTTGTAAAATGGCATGGGTGGATAAAAGCTGCTCATAGCCTAATAAAGAGAGTTTAGCTTCCTTTTCTTGGACACTTCCTCACTGATGGCCTGGGGAAGAGCTGAGTCAACTTTTCCTTCCTCTCTCCTGCAGCTGGGATGGGTTCTTTTCTTGGCTCTCTCTCTAGGTTTTAATTCAACTCCCTTTGTCACAGACTTAACCCAGGCCTAATTCTAATAGGTGTTGGGAACTGTTCTTAGGTTCCATGCCACTTTCAGGGAGAACAGGATGAGACAGCACTTTGCAGAGGCCCTTGGGAACCAGGTGTCCACCTGGGGCCAGTGGAGGTCAAGCCTGAGTGGGGATTGCCTCATGGGGAAGGAGTTCAAGGCCTAGGTCAAAGCACTGAGGAGCAACTCAATCAGAATCCTGGAGATGGGACGCAGGCCTTCCAGGAGCAAGGTAAGTTGCACACAATAAGGAAGTGGGGACACAGAAAACTGTGCTTTGCCCCCACCCTTCTTCAGTTTAGAAACCGAGTAATTGATAAGTTATTTGCAAGGCATAATTCTGAGTTTTTCTGGTTACTTTCTCAACCTCAGCAGGAAACAGATGAAGTGAAATTGTTTTCTGTATCTTGACTCTGATTCCTGGAGGTGATATCTGAGATTACATTCCCTCATTTCTTCTCTTCTCCTTTCCCTTGCAGCCTTTTAGAGACCAGCAGGAAATATGCAGCTGTTATATGTAGCAGTATTTTTTATAAGTGGGCAGGTAAAACATATCCCTAAGAGTAATATATGACTTTGTTATTCAATCTCAAATAAGTCACTCCCAGAATAAGATTGGGCAGTGTGAATAGCCTAGAAGAGATAGGACGTACTGGGTTGGGACCATCTTCCCAGCTGAGAATAGAGTGAGGTATACCCAGACACCTGTGTAGGGGAAAGTGTGGAACCACTTAATGGTTCCAAAAGTTCTGTGTGTCAGGCAAGGGGCACCACTGAATGAGCTAACTGCAAAACAACACTAATCTTTCTCACGCATTTTTCCTCTGCTCAGCTCTGCCTGTTCTTCACGCTGGCCCCGGCCTCCCCTCAGTGAACACCAGAGACCAAGAGATGGCAGCTGGGTTCCTCACAGCTGGATCCCAGGTAAGCTGTGTCTCTGCACTTCCAGAGGTCATGATGGCGCTTTGAATGAGGTGTTCACCTTTCCCAGGTTTCTCTCTTCAACAAAACTGCATCCACATAGTGGAGTTACTCCGTCTTTCTAGTTCTGATGGACACGACAGCTTTGTTTTCTCCACTTTACCATGCCCAGTTGTTAATTTGCATTGAGCTTTATGTCTGGACCCTAAGTCACAATTTAACTCACTGGTGTTACTCTTATCATTGTAAGGAGGAAGATAGTGTTGATACAAATCCCATAGGTGTGATCTAGGCTGTGGTTGTTGGCTAAGAAATAAGTAACCCGTTGTGGATGCGCTTTATAGATGGCTTCTGCTGGTGCTCTCCCTCTGTCCCCCCACCCCCCTGATGTCAGCAAAGATGTAGCTGACTGAGGGTTGGGGGCTCCTAGGGGTCCTGAGCTGAGTAGTCTCTCTGGCCTGTACTCTAGCTCTACCAGGAGTTTTGGCCTTGTCAGCACTTGTTAACCTGCCACAAATGGAGGCAGCTAAAGCGTGGATGGGGCGCTGTTGCCACAGTTTAAATCTCTCCCATGAGGTGCTGACCGTGTTACCAGGGAGATGGAGATTATCTCTGGGATAACTGAGAGATGTGCCCATTGATTATCAGTCAACCACCTTTCTGAAGGAAATGAGTCTTGAAGAGTTCCTTGAAGGAAAAGAGGTGCAGTTTGGCAGAAAAAAATAAGTGAGCTCAATCTGATCTAGCTGAAGCATTACTGGGGCAAGATTTGATGCCAGTATCATTTTCTATTCCTGTTTTCCAAGTACATGGTGGGAGGAGTTGGAGAATTACATCAAGCATTTTTTAATTTGGTCAGATCCTCTCCTTCTCCCATAATAGCTCTTCTTCATGGAGTTATGAATGAGAATGCATTAATTTAACATGGCTTGTTCTTAAGACAGAGCTTGCCCAAATGTTTACATACTTATCCAGAGCGAAAGTCAGATATAGATGAGGGGATACATAGTACTGCTCTGGTTCTACCAAACTTGAGCACTGAATGGGGGTGATTGAAAGTGGAAATTGGTTGCTGTGGTAGTTGAGATACAAACTAAGCTGCTGCAGCAGAGACTCAAAAATACCGTGACTCCAACAGGTAGATTACTTTTCTCGTTAAATGTTGAGAGATAGGCAGTTCTGCTCTCAAGACCATGCAGAAGACTTGCTCTTCCCTAGAGTGTTGTCCCATATGTTCTCTCCTGCTGTTAGACTGGTCCTCCTTAGGAATTATTTCTTTATCCATAGCAATTTCCTGTTATTTCAGGGGTTGGGCCCATTTAAAGATATGGCTCTGGCCTTCCCTGAAGAGGAGTGGCGGCACGTGACCCCGGCCCAGATAGACTGCTTTGGTGAATATGTAGAACCAGAGGACTGTGGAGTCTCATCTCCAGGTAAGACTGTTTCTCCCCTACAGATAAGAAATGAGGAGTTTTAAGAGGTACAGGTCAGAGTTCTTGTCCTAGCTCAACGACTTCATAACCTGGTCCTGACAAAAGAAGGGGACTTCATGGCCAGCAGAGTAAATGGGTACAGAGGAGGAGTCATAGACCAAGGGGTGTAAGGAGATGGCAAGATGTATCTCTGTGTCAGGAGAGGAACCAGACAATGGAGCAAAAAAATGTGAGGCAGTTATTCTGGCTGCAATGAGACCGGTCAGTCATTAAGTTTCCCTGAACACCTACTCTGTGTCCATAATTGAAGGATACTGAGGACTTGAGACAAGAGAAAAGCTGTAAAAGATATATCATCTGATCTCATTCTTTCAACAGATGCTTATCGAGTGCCCACTACAGACAGGTACCATTGTTAGTAGCTTTCTGTTGGCGCAGGGGAAGAGGGCAGGACTAGTGTACCCGAAGCCACCGGTAGGCAGTGTGGGTGTGGAGGGGGTACTAGGATATCAGAATGGGAGCAGTTGGTGTGGCCATTGTCACAGAGGAAGCAGAGCCAAGGCTGTGCCTGCCTTGAGTGGTTTCCAGGTTTGATCTGGGTGGGAGCCTGAGAGGATGCTGCTATCATGCCTGTGATAGGAGCTCATAGTAGGAGCAGGAGCAAGAGAAAAGAGTAGGAGGAAAGAGTGAGCCGAGAGAAGTGTAGGGTGAGGGCCCAGGTGGGAAAGCCAGTGGAAGGCACTGCAGGGCCTTGATGACTGCCACAGTGGAGAGTAACTTGAATGGTGAGAACACTGGGGAGAGGAACTGAAACATCACTGGGAATGGCCCTCTTTTTTGTTCCCCTCTAATTTTCTTCTTTTTCCTTTCATAGCTTTTTTGTAATCTGTACTGACCTCCACCTCACCTTTTTTCAACTTGAAATGTGTTGAGGGATGAGGGAGAGTATCACTGTACTTCTTTCAGGACATGAGAAAGTCCTGGCTCTACCACTTAAAACTGTGACCTTGGGCAACTCATTTTACTCAAGTCTTAATTTCCTCAGTTGTAAAATAGGTGTATCATAGAACACTACTCATGGAGTTGTGAAGATTGAATGAGATAAAATAACTAAACATTTGGAAAATATGACAGTATTAGGTGTTTTTATTAATTGTAGTGTTCATATGATTAAATGATTCCTTTACGACTTAGTCAACTTTCATTCATTTAATCATCCAGAATTATTTGGCACTTAGTATGTGGCCAACACTTGAGTAATTACCATGAAGAGTAAAAATAAAAGTGTGTGCCTCTAAGGATCTTACAGTTAAGGTGAAGAGCCCAAGTACATGTAATAATGATTATTATGAAATACCGTAAGGAGCAGAGGGACTGGGAGGCAGGTAGGAGACCTGGGTCCAGGGTGCAAGGTTGTTACACCGTGTCAGTGATGTGAGTGACTGAAAGATGCCAACATATTTTACATAAAGATGTAAAATGTCTAATGGCAAAGGATGTGGAAACCCTCTGAGATAACTATACGGAGCAAGAGCTCGTACCGCATACTACAGATAAGGGTCCCTTTGTGCCCGTTCCTTAATCTCCCTCAGGGATGTACCTCTGCCAGGAATGCTACTCTGTGGGGTAAGGATTCTGCCCTCCCTTTCTCAGAGGGTTTTTACACCCTCCTGGCCATTTCTGACTGTTCTAGAGACTCTGGCTCTATGTGTACCCTCTCACCAGGTCATTGTTTCAAAACAATTCACGCACATTCCTGAATGTTTATGCTGAGACTGGGTGGCATGAAGGTCAGTTTCCCAGGTGTATTATCCTTTAGCTGTCTCAACCTCCAAGTATTCTGAGATTTATTCTCATCCCAGCTCTTCCATCAATAACTGTGAGGATTGGGCCTGAGTTTCTTCATTTGTAAAGAGGACTGGAGTCTGGGGGAAGTATTGGACTAGATGATTTCTCAGATCCCCTCCAGTTCTTATTTTATTCTTATTCAGAAATAATTAACTACTAAACTTGTGGTCTTGATTGTAATTGCAGTAAGAGAGATGGGTAGGATGGACTAGACTAGTTGGAGTAGGCTCAGAGTGATGTAGACATAGAACTTGGGCAAGAATTTGGAAGATGATTTGGAAAAATGGAGACAGAGTAGTGTGTGCAAAACCATGAGTTGTAGGAATCAGTTGGTGTGCTTGTGGGTTGGTGAGGGCACTGATGTGAAAGATAAATATTCAGAAGGAATAAGAAGGAGATTGGGATAAGTAGAGTGAGGCCAGCCATGAAAACTACGGGCTTTCTCTTTTTTTAACTTTTCAGCACAGAGTAACATGATGAAGGCATGACTTCAGGCACTTTGGATTGACAGCAGGGTACAGTTGGCCTGGAGGGTTGAAAGACTGACTGGGAGTGTGCCGGAGTCATGTAGGCATGAGGGTAAGAGCAGGAACCAGGGTGGTGGCAGTGAAGAAGAGGGCTTACTGAAATGTTTTTCTAGAAATTTGGTCAGAGGTTGGTCAGAGGAGAGGAAAGAGAAGAAACAAACAAGAGTCTTAAGATTCTGGCTAGGAGACTGGAAAATTGATGGAGCTTCTGACAGAAACGGAAGGGAATGTTTTCCTAAGGGAGGGGAGAGTAAAGGAGATCCAGGTGAAAAGCCGCTGAAAGTAGTTGGAAATCAGGTACTTAGTCTGAGGGCTAAGATAATACCACTTGCCAGTGTATGCCAGTGCATTGTGTGTACAGCAACCTTGATGACTCTGTAATCCATTTTGAAGATGAAAAACTAAGGCTCAGAGAGGTTGTCTTAGTTATTTAGTGCTGCTTGAACAGGAATACCCCAAGTGGACAGCTTTAACAAACAGAAGTTTATTCTCTCACAGTTTAGTAGGCTAGAAGTCCTAATTTAGGGCACTAGCTCCAGGGGAAGGCTTTCTTTCTCTGTTGGCTCTGGAGAAGCGTCCTTGTCATCAATCTTTCTCTGGTCTGGGAGCTTCTTAGCACAGGGACCCCAGGTCCAAAGGATGTACTATTCTCCTGGTTCTTGTTTCTTGGTGGTATGAGGTCTCCCTGTCTCTGCTCACTTCTCTCTTTTCTATCTCAAAAGGGATTGACTTAAGACACAACCTAATCTTGTAGATTGCGTCCCACTTCATTAACATAACTGCCTCTAATCCTGCCTCATTAACATCATAGAGGTAGGATTTACAACACATAGGAAAATCACATCAGATGGCAAAATGGTGGACAGTCACCCAATACTGGGAATCATGGCCTAGCCGAGTTGACAGATATTTTGTGGGGGCACAGTTCAATCTGTGACTGAGGTTAATTGAGTTTTCCATGATCACATAGCTATTAAGTTGCCAATTCAACATTCAAAACCAGATTTCTGGCTGCTATGCCCATTTTCTTTCCACTAATGCATCTTTCTCCTAGATTATGCCTAGATACTCCATTTCATTTTCCCCCAACTTTATATTTTGAACATTTATTTTAAAAATTTTCAAACATACAGAAAAGTTAAAAGACTTGTACGGTGAACGCACTTATACCTTTATCTACATTCAACAATTAACATTTTTGCCATATTTATTAATATGTATATTTTCTGAACAAGTTGAGAGTTGGAGACATCTTGATCTTTCACTCCTAAATATTTCAGCATGCACCTCCTAATAGTGACATTCTCAGTATAACCATAGCATCATAATTCTACCAAAGCAAACAAACATAAATTCCATAATACATAGTATCTAGCACATATTTGGAGGAGCCCTGGTGGCGTAATGGTTAAGTGCTCAACTGCTTATTGAAAGATCGTCACTTCAAACCCACCAGCTGCTCCATGGGAGGAAAGATCTGGCGATCTGCTTCCATAAAGATTATAGCCTAGGAAACCCTATGGGGCAGTTCTGTTCTGTCCTTCAGGGTTGCTATGAGTCAGAATCAACTTGATGGCACACAGCAGCAACAGCACATATTCGCATTTCCCAGGGTCCAGTTAAGGTTCATGAATTTTGTTTAGTTTAAAATTTACTATTCATAACATCCTAAAACTGGACACTACCCAAATGAACATGAGACAAATTAATTAATAGATTGTGGTATATTCTTATATATCAATGAAAAAGGACAGACTACAGCTCTACACCACAATATGGATGAATCTCACGAACATAATGTTGAGCAGAAGAAGCCAGAAACAATGTGAACACTTACACGAAGCACAAGAACAGGTAAAAGTACTTGACCGTGATAAAAGTCAGGAGAGTGTGCTACCCTTTGGGGCAGGGTGTAGTGACCAGGAGGGGATCAGAGAGGGACTTCTGGGTGCTCGTAATGTTCTGTTTCTTGAACTGGAGGCTGTTTACATAGTTGTGTTCATTATGCAACTTCTTTGGGCTCCACATTTATGTTTTGTACATTTTTACTTTTTTATGAAAAGTTTACAAAACAGAAGAATACATCATAGGTGATAGCTGTGTACTTCATGTTTTATCAAATCAGGAGACATATAATGCCAGTTTTCCTTTTATGCTTTAACAGCCTTGCCTGAAAGGACTTTCTCCACAGGCCTTTCTCCACTTTTAAGCACTCTTGTCATTTCTTTCTCTCTCTTTTTTTTTCTCTTGGTCTTTTTGCTTACCAGTATCCTTCTTCCTCTTTCTCCTTCCTTTCTTCCCCTTGTCCTAAAAACAGTTATTCTTTTAATTTACAGAGAGTATAATAGGGATCTGAGTGAGGACTGAAGGGGTGAGTTGGGGCATATTTGTGGCATTCATGGTCATTTTAGACCTAATAAATATGTTAATTTAGAGGCCGTATGGTGCAAGAACTTCTGTGACAGACTAGGTTTATTCATCTATCCAGCAGTTAATAAGCATCCGCTCTGAGCCAGACCTAGTGCTAAGCTCCCAGGACACCCAGATTAATCAGTGAGTTAGGCAGAGGGAGCAGTGTGAGCAGGGACAGAGAGGTGAGAAAGTGTTTGGAGAATATGGGGTACTGCAAGTAGTTCACCACTGCTGAAATAGATTATAGTTAGCTGAGGAAGGCAAAACATCTAGATGAATATAACTTAGCACTTACAATAAGGTCACATATAAATAAGTACAGACTAAATAAAGTGCTCATTGAGTCCATGAGTGCTGAAGAGACCCCCAGGGTAAGAGAATAACCAGAGCGTGTTTCTTGGAGGAAATAATTGAGTTATATTTTGAAGAATAGAAGTCTGAATTGGTAGAAAGTTAAATGGGAAGGCATTAAAACTTGGCAGACTATTCTGTAAAAAGTCATGGAGATGAAAGGAAGTAGAGGAAAGTACACGTTTAAGGTCAATGAAAGTGAAAATTACGGTTGATCAAAGAAGAGAGAAGGAACTGTTAATGGGACACTTTTAGAAGTAAAGGTCTAACATACAGATTTATTTTCATAGCTATTACAGAGTCAATTAGTGTGTTCTTTCTTCCTGTAGGCATTGGGAGCAAGGAAAAGGAGGCTAAAACTCAGCAGGAAGACCTTAAAGGGCCACTTGCTGGATTGACGTCAGAGAGGTTTGGGGAAGCTGTTCTCCAGAGCCCTGAACTTGGAAGGACCTGTGACCAGGAGCCCAGTAGCTCTGTGGGACACATGCCAGGACTTCCTGCTCCCCAGCATGGTGTCATACCCAAGCCTGATGACCTCAAGACTCACAGCTCCTTCTGGAAGCCTTTTCAGTGCCCCGAGTGTGGGAAAGGCTTCAGTCGCAGCTCAAATCTTGTCAGACACCAGCGAACCCATGAAGAGGAGAAGTCATATGGCTGTGTTGAGTGTGGCAAAGGCTTTACCCTGAGAGAGTACCTTATGAAGCACCAGAGAACCCACTTAGGAAAGAGACCTTATGTCTGTAGCGAGTGTTGGAAAACCTTCAGCCAGAGACACCATCTTGAGGTCCACCAGAGAAGTCACACAGGAGAGAAACCCTTCAAGTGCACTGACTGCTGGAAAAGTTTTAGTCGCAGACAGCATCTTCAGGTGCATCGGAGAACTCACACTGGGGAAAAGCCCTACACCTGTGAGTGTGGCAAGAGCTTCAGCAGGAATGCTAACCTGGCAGTGCACCGGCGAGCCCACACAGGGGAGAAGCCGTATGGGTGCCAGGTGTGTGGGAAACGTTTCAGTAAAGGGGAGCGGCTAGTCAGACACCAGAGGATCCACACTGGAGAGAAGCCCTACCACTGTCCTGCCTGTGGGAGAAGCTTCAACCAGAGGTCCATCCTCAACCGACACCAGAAAACTCAGCATCGCCAAGATACCCCAGGGGCAGTAAAGGCACCCTGCTGAAGTGTCTCCTTTCTTTTTCCTTTTGCTATTGGAAGGCACTGGAGAGGGCAGGACCTCCCAGAACCATTAAGTGGAGGGAAACCTCATTGGAGGGATGTCATTCATCTTTCCTCACTGAAGCGCTTGTGGAGGGAGTGATGGGGTGCAGAAGGGTGGTTTGACCTATTTTCTTTCCACCCATTCTCAAACACGGGAAAGGGACACGGCCTGGTTTATTTCGAGCTTCTGGAGAGCGCAGCTTCTCACATCTCTTAACCAAGTGCTGCTAACAGTTTTTTGTACCATATTTTGAGGAGACCATTTCCTGAGTTGCATTTCAGGTTGAAGTTTTTCTCCTTCAATGGGATGTGCTTCTCACTCTCCTTAGGAAGTCTGGTGGTAAAGGCAACATTCTGACACACGTTGGCAGCTTGAACCTCAATTTTTTTTTTTCTGAGAGCTGTGTCTTGCCTGTAAGATCACTAGCTCAGACTCTCTCCCTTCCTCCCCTCACTCTCTCTTTCATTTAACGGATATTTATTGGACACCTGTTAAATTCCTGGCACTGGGAATACAGTGGTGAATGAGACAGATGAGAGATGTGTTCTCTTGGAGCTTGTGATGAGCAGTGGAAATAAACATGAAACCGTTAGCACAAAGTATTCTGAATTACGCTTTGGTGAGTGCTGTGTGAAGGTATAGACTTCTCATGCTCACTCTTTCTGCTCTGACTGCAAGCCCTCTGCTTGTGTGTGGATCTTTCCCTTATCAGTTGGGATCTTTTCTCTAGCAGCCACACTTATTTTACTTTTATAGCCCTCTTTGTCTCTGACTGTAACATTCCACCCTCATCTGTAAATTTCCCTATTCCACTATTTCTTGTACTGTAATAACTCTCAACACATCAGCTATTAGGAAATTAATATTTTGCTACCGACCACTGGATAAACACGAGAGTATTTTCTGAAATACTCAGTTCTTTAAAAAGATCTAATTGAGTCTGAAAGATGAATATTAATACCCTGTATTTGATGACACTACGGTATATGAAATGCTTTTCTTGGTATCCTCAATATATTACAGAAATATATATTGAGGCCCTACAGTGGGCCAGGAACTCTTCTAGGTGTTCATGATACATCAGTGAACAAAGTAGAGGGAGAAAAATCCCTGACCTTGTGACGCTTTTACATTTTAGTGAATGTATTTGATCTTCAGAACCCCCCAAGTTGAAACTCGTGAACAGTCCCATAAATACTCTGGGATTTGAGCCTGTGTTCTTGGTTCTGTCAGCTTCTTCCTGGAAATGTGTTTGCCACGTACCTCTTGTTACTGAATAGTTTCTGTTTGGTGCATCTAGATACTTATCTTTTGAGATGCTGGAGAGGATGAGGTGGTAGCAGCCTGTTCGGCGTAAGTGCCAATTCAGGAAAAATAAATGTATGTAGGCATTTAAAAAATACATTTCTCAAAAAAGGAGAAGATGAAGTACTTGTAATGGTGTTTAAGCTTCATTATGTTATTTTACCATTGCTAAAGTGTTTCCTGTTTAAAATTTTGGAAACTAACTCAATGGGCTGCACTGCAGTGTCCTTGTCGTGCTGAGCCTTTGGACACTGGCTGTGGAGTGAGATTTTTTGTCTTTTCTTGACAGTGTACTATAATTGCAAGATGTGGTTTGTCTCATGATGCCTCTTAATATTGTATTCTTTTACTGAGATATTTTTCCATTTTCTGTTGTAAATAAGATAAACAGTCATGACTTTAACACAGTTGTATTACTTAATCTATTTTGAAACCCTTGATTTTTATCCCCCATTTCTTGGCAGCACCCATGGCATTGAATTTTGATTTAGCGAATGACCATCCTGGTTCATCAGCTGCCCCCACTAGGCTGAGTGTATCTGAGACGTCCACACAAGGGTGCTGCCACTCCTCACCAGTGCTAAGGTCCATATACAAAATCAGCTCTTTTTTTCCCCCACTTCCCATACAAGCCAAGCAAGGCTTACAGCCACCTGCCAGCCAAACCCAGTGAGTTGCTTTTCCTAAATCTCTGGCTCCTGGTCTATAGGACTTAGGGGCTGACTTGGCCTGAGTTTGGCCTTTGTATGCTCCAAAGCTAGGCAGCACACATCTGGTCACCATGGGCTGGAAGTTGTTCATCAACTGTTCTTGAGTCTGACAGATTCTCTTCGGTCATATATTTAGCCAGACAAGCCTCTGAGTTTTCAGCCAGTTGGAATTTCTTGACAGAAGCCTCAGTGAGAGTAAGTTAAGGCCTTGCTCTCTTTCCCACTTGGGCCTTTTATCTCCTTTGAGATCAAAGCTTACGGGCAATTTCTCAAAGCCTTAAAAGGGAATTTTTTCTAATGAAATTGTAGTGGCCTATTTTTGATAGCTATTAAAATGTCAACAAATACTTGTTTTCTGTATTTTTCTATCCTTAATTTTTTTACTAGAAAATTTCAGACATTCGTAAATGAATCCTTAGGTATTCATCATTAACCACTAAAACTCATGGCCAATCTTGTTTCATCTCTTTCCTCACCTCCCCCCACCCCCCGCCTCCTTCACTGAAGTTTTTTGAAGAAAATCCCAGGTATAGTTCATTTATAAATGTTTCAGTATGTACCTCTAAAGGGTCTCTTAAAAAAAAAAAGAAAACTATTATACCTTAAAAAGTTAATTTCTTAATGTCAAAATGTTTTTAAAAAGTTTTGAAAATTTAGAATCCAAATGAGATTCATACATTATAATTTGTTGCTTTGTCTTCTAAGTCTCAGTCTATAGTTCCATCCTTTTTTTTTCCTTTGAAATTTATTCATTGAAAAACTGGATTATTCTGTAGAGTTTCTTGGATTCTGAATTTTGTTGTTTACATTCCCATGTTTCTCTATCCTCTGTATTAACTAAAACTCACAGGTGTAGAGGTGTTACCAGATTCATATTTCATGTCACTCTGCAACAAGAGGTTGACTTTATCCACTTCTGTGATAACTGACAAGAACTTGTTTCTCTCCTGTCTACTTGTTCTTTTTAACTCTGCTAGGGTTTCTCAACTTTGGCAGTACTGACATTTTGTCCAGATACTTTTGTCGTTGGGGGCTGTCCTGGCTGATTTGTGCATTGTAGGATGTTTAACAACATCCCAGGCTTCTACTCACTAGATGCCAATAACAACCCCCTGTGTGACAACCAAAGATGTTTCCAGATATTGTCAAATGTCCCCTGGGGGACGAAATCAACCCTGACTGAGAACCACTGCTCTTTGCAATCAGGATGATATCTGAAGCAAGTGAGATCGATGCTTTAGCTATTGAAAGAAGGCACTGGAATTTCAAGGACTGGACCTGTTTCTTGTTAAAGCCCCAGCCTAACTTTCTGAAAAAGAGGTTTTACTAGAGATCACTTAGGTTAAATGTAGAATTTCCAAACAGGGCCAGGAACTATTGAATTAGAATCTCAGGATGGGAGGCTGGACATCTATAACAAGCAACCTAGGTGGCTCATATGCAGGCAACCCACCTCTAGCACCATTGTTTCGGGAACCACTGCACAAATACCTCTTCAAGTACCTGCCACAAAGCCTCTACATCACAATGAATAGTCTTCCCTAGTAAATGCATGTGCTTAAGTGGGGTGCCACTTAAGCTCAGTACAGCCAGTTACAGCCTTTTATTTTTCTCCTTAATAAGGTCTTCAGGACACAGTAGACATATTTACATGAATGAAAGGTCTGGCTTTCTACTAGCTTTCTTCTAGAAGGCTTTTGTGAAGGTGCCTTTGGAAAAAACACTATAGCAAGTTACCTTCTGGTGACCCTGGGCAGCTGATAGTCACTCTAGCTGTTGAGCTATGAATTTTAAGTATATCAAATTAACAGAAATTCTACCAGCCAAAGAAATTCACTTGGGTTTTTTACAATTTATTTTTATCTTTCCTCTTTTTTCATTATCTCAATGAAGCATATACTTCTGGGAATTCAAACTGCTAAGAGAATGAGGATGCAAGGAGTTGGGTAATGCAAGTATTGTGCCTTGAGGAAGCAGAGGAACTTAGAAGCAATTTGGTTTTCTTGGAGCAGCAAATAGGTTCCAGTGTAAGGGCTGCCGTCACTCCACGTGCAGAAACCACAGCTCCACCATCTAAGTGGCCAGAGATAAAGAAACGGCAGCAAACCCAAGAGCTTGCCTCGTGTTTTCCTTTCCTATTTGCAGTCTCTTGAGAGGGTGGTAAATAAGCTTTTAGATAGAGACTGGGAGAAGAGAGGTTGTAAGTCTTTGTATCCTGGACTCCCACCTCCAGGAGCTATTTGAGTATTATACTATTTGTGAAAATTTGAGGAAAACCCAATCTATATCATTTGGAAATTTTATTGACTTCAGCAAAAGGGCTCAGCATGTTATGTGAATAGGAAAAGTAGAATGAATGATAAGGAGGTTGTCATTAAGAGCCAGTCTTCTCACCAGATTTTTCCAGTCTTCATTTATAAGTGTCCCAGCTGCCTGGACTAAAATGCTTGTGGAGGGAATGAGAA